AAAAGAAAAGCAAAAAAAATCAATCAGTTGAATCTTCGTTTCATCACAAAACTTTTAATTGATATATCATAAAGTTAGTACCAAAGAATATTATCACAATTTTGCAGTTGAGACTAGTGTTCGTGGAATCCCAACAAACGAAATTTTTTCTGAATTTAATTGAATCTGTTTATTGAAAAGATGTTGTTTCATTAATCTAATATATTATCATGTTACAGTAAAATCAATATTTTATTGTAATACGTATTTTATCGATTTCACAATTTACAGTTGAACTTCAAAATTGATATATTGACATTCATTTCACCATTGAAAGCCAAACTTCAGTGTACTACAGAAAAGTTGAAAAGAGTGATATATTGTATTCTTACTTTTCATTTAACCGAAGGAAACGAGATTAAAATCTACACGTGCTAACTCGTTTTGGTGGGTTACATCCTTTTTTAACGAAGAAAATTGTACTCTAATTAGTGCACTTTTCCATCGTGTATTTTAAATATGTCAAAAATTGCTGTACAGTGATTAAAGCCACGTCTATCGCTTTGCTCTTTTTGCAAAAGAAAGGAAGACTAACGAAGATAACTCGAGATTGCGTTGATTTTGCTTTGGAGCGATTTTCAATGGACTGTCAAAAAATAATTCGGGATTGCTACGTTTTTGCTTTACCTCACACTGTGATTGGTCCAGAAAACTCGTGCCATTCTCTCAGCCAATCAGACATAAAACAAATACCAATCGTGCCTTGGTTACCCGCGTTTTCCCGCGCTTTTTGTAGTCTGCCTGTTTTTTTCAATGAGTTCTCATTAGCTGATGATAATGTTTTTCTTAAAACTTAGGGAAGTGCAACTGGGTGTCTTCATGCGCTTCAGGCAATTTTACTTGTTTTCGTTTTGAGCTTAAGGAGGTTCTATGACTATTGTTGTGTTGTTGTTGGTTTCATGAGTTTTGACCGGAATCTACTGTGCGCTAGTTTCTTTGCAATCAATAGTTCCAGACCATGTTAAAAAAACACGTAACATGTTTTTATAATCAATAGAAACAAGTGCAGTGGGTGCAAATAAGACAAAGAGCACTGTTAGTCGTAGCCGATAATTTGACTTTTCCACCTTGTGCTGCCCACGGAACACAGTGTTTGTACAAACTTACTTGCATATCGAGATCCTCTTTGTAACGGTACTCTCGGTTCCATTCTTCTTGCCCCATAAAGTAAGGCCTGGATGGAGCTTTACCCGGCACGGACATCGATGAGATGACGTCATGAGGTGACGTGTGAACTACGTCATGATATGACGTCAGGGTAATGTTGCTGTTAGGCACAACGCGTCTCTCTTCCTCGTCTGTAGAGCCAGTTCTAAAGCGCTTCTTCCTTCTCATGAAGCTTCCACCTTCGAACATGTGTTTGCTCTGTGGATGAAGACACCACAGGTGCCCTTTGCTGGGGTTCGTCGGATCTCTGAACGTCTTCACGAAGCAGTCATTAAGGGAGAGGTTGTGGCGGATGGAATTTTTCCATCCTTTGGCAGGGCAATTCTCGCTGTAATACGAAAACTGCTTTTGAATGTGTTCGATGATGCCACTTAACGTTTGACGGCGATTGGGTGATTGTAAGATGGCCATAACTATCAGAGAGATGTACGAATATGGTGGCTTTCCCTTCTTCCTTTCTGCCAATTCCGCCGATTGGTCCAAATTATTTAATTTATCACCAAGCTTCGGTCTTATCTCCTTCAAAGCTTTCCTCGGGATGACGGGCTTTTCGTTAGACTCGTGGTTCATCTTTTGACCGAGATTAGCTCTCCCTATCGCTTTCAACTGAGCACAACGTTTTGAAATGGTTAAATAGAGGATGAATATAAAAGAACGCAGCAATCATTCTCCGTGTTAACCAAGCACCGGTAATCCGCGATTCGTTGCAACCACAATGAACGCTAATTTCAGTTTAATGAAAAAGTCAATAAAGTGTGAAGCCCTAAATTTGCCGCGACAGTTATTTCAAAGCGTTAAGTGAAACCATGAGAAAATAACGTTCTTACAGCACACTGTCCAATCGCACTGACACAGACAGTAGTTGATTAACAAATTACATTTAGACGAACATTTTAATATTTGTTCTTCACCTGCTATTAATTTCCTAGAGTCATCAGTCACTAATTTCCCTCACAATTTGAGAATAGTTTATCAAGCAATTACTTGCTGTCTTATCAGCATGAAAATTCCAATTCCTACAACTAGAATCAATAGAAATATATGGCAATTAATTGTGGAAATTTTTAGTTTGACTAACGGGGTTTTCAGTGCAATCGATAAAACGACCCAGACCAGACTAGAGAATACTTCAAACTTAAGACAATGAATTTTATTCTTATGGCGAAATCTGTACTCTTGCCATTGTTTTAAATTCAGGAAACGGAAAAAGGCGCATGATTGCATGGTTATCCAGCAGAGCATTCAAGCTCTGTCAGACTGTTAATTACTTTTATATTTACAATTTAAATGATGCCCCCTTAAGAGAGAGAATCAATCTTTTTGTCTTTTGAAACTTCCTTATACTTAACTTTTGAAGTAACAAATGCGGCGTTTGTAGAAAATTCATGCAAATGTCTCGGCTAATTATACGAGGTTTTTATTGTTTCTATAGTTCCAAATGAATTAAATAATTAAGATGTACGAGGGAAATTTATTAAACCATTTTTAACGAAGAATTCCTGGAACTACACCCGAAAAGTACTTTAAATCGAATTATTACCCAACATAGCTTACTTTATGTCTGTAAAATTTTATTTATATGTGTTGCAGATGAAATGCTATCTTCGCGATTCGGTATTATTTTGATATATCGACTTGACATATTTATTTTGAAACTCATTGCCTTAATTCAAAGGATATGTTTACACACCTTATGACAAGCGATTCCTTTTTTGCTGGCTGAAAGGAGATGTAATGCCAGACCAAGATACTTTGCTCTGAATCTATGTCTCGATTTTAATACATGTAACTGTGATTTAAACTATCTCTTCAAATTGAAATATAGCTCTATAAACGTCATGCTCAAGAAAAAAAAACTTGATTTAACATGTCTACCAGATAATCAAGCGAATTCATTTGTTACCAGATGATTGTAGATACATCGCCCTTGAAGGATGCTTGATTTTACCAACTTCGATTAAAACTTATCTCTTCAAATTGAAGGATAGCATGATACACTAGATACTTGAAGGTTCATAATCATCGATTTTATTTGTCTATCAGACAAAGGCGGATTCATCCCTCTGCGAGAATCTGTTACGAATTTACGTTCAATATTTTGCTTCAGTCGCCACGCGCGATGTGCATTTTTTTTATGGCTTCCATTCATGGAAATAAAAAGTTGACGTTCATTTGTTGTCAACTGCCAGACTGTTACCCGCGCAGTTGTTTAAAAAACTATTGGTACTTAAAATAATTGGTTTTGATGAAAGCAATTGATGATAAAAGAATCGGCAGTACTTAATAAATCTTGTTTCATTTCCCCGATGATTTCAAAGAAACAGCCGTTATTCAAAGGGAAGACATTTCGCTAAGACTGAATGAATTATAAAACGCTGTTAAATTTGCCCTAACGTAAGAATTTTTCAGTTGTGATGTGCGCTATAATCCAGTTTCCTTTATATTACCAAAGGAAACCGGAATATTGTATTTTAAACTCAAATCGTAAAAATCCTACAGAGCAGTGCGTTCCTTGCAATGTACGCGTCGCTTTGACTCAATCAACAGTGTTTTGTTATAGCGGTTAACTTTGTAACAAAAGAAACCCTTTTGTTAAACGCAAACATTTTTATTAAAAGTTATAATAATTCTTGGGAAAACGTAAGCTGTGCACGGTGTATCACTTTTGTTATGTATGATTTGAATTAAATGAGAAATTAAAAGCGTAGAACCAGCAACGTTTTTGTTGTGCGGAGTAAATGAAAAATGAATTTTTGTTTTGCAAAAATTTTATTTACGTTACAAGTTACTTTTTAACGTAGTTTACGCTGGTAAGAAAGCTGATTATGGTTTATTACTTATGCAAACAGCTCACTTCTTTAGATATACAAAAGTATAGTGTAAGATAAACAGATGCTTTGGTCTCGAAGGGTTCTTTGTTCTAATCGTTTTAAGGTTCGAAGCGTTATCAATATTTCATCTGTTGCTGATTGTGCTTCTTAGAACTGTAACGTTTTTCATCAGCTATTTTTCAGTCCTTTCTGGAGTTCTTTGCTAGAGTTTTTCGCGTCCAAACGTTCAGACTACAGATGTAATGTTAAACTGATGATTAAAACTGCTCACGCATGTAGCAGCAAATCCGTGAAGGACAAAATATTCCGAGTTATTTTATTAGCTTTTATTTAGAAGTACAGTTGACTTATCTTTGTCGTGGGAAACTAATTGCACAACACTTCTGTTCTTTTGAAAACAATTTTATTTGAGTTTTCTAAACAAATGGAAATTTGTATTTATCTTAACTCAACTCCACACATCAGGGTGCGTTTGGGACTAAGTTTGACCGGCGACTTACTAATCAAATACAACTGAGTTGTCGTGGATAACGAGATAAGAGGCAAAAAAAAAAGGATCGGAAACTCAGAGGAACGTTCTCGACCACTGTTTATGAAAAGTAACTGCAAATAAATATTGCACAATTAGCTGCGATGTATGCCTTTGAAGAAACGTGAATTACCGATCAAAATAAGAGGAAATTTTTATCATTATATCTGTTAAGAGACCTCTAAAGCGCGAATTAAACCTCAATGGAAAATAATTTTCGGATCTAGAGATATTTCCGATAAACAACTGTATACAAACTTCAATTTTGAGCTAGTAACACTTTCAAGGATATATTTCCCCCCTCAGAATTTCTACGTATTAGAGAATACTTCCTTAAACAGATTAAGTGTTATACTTTGCTCAAGGGTGGATCAATAATTATAATCTGCCTTTTTAAATCAGTAGCAAAATGAAAATAGTACATTTTATTTAACTTTGCTTAAATAATAAACGATGATATGTAACTCAAAACTCGCTAACAATTATTGTCAAGAGAGAGACGTGTACACGGGTACATCCAAATGTGATTAATGGAGTACAGAAACTATGGTGATTTTTACGAAAAGTGAGGGCGCTTAGGATGAAGTTCATATTCTATTGCAATCAAGTGTACCCTATGCATACACTCGTTGACCTGTTTCTGACCTACGAGGAGACATTTGCTCGCACAATTAAGTATTATCATTTGAAGTTGTTAAAGTCATACAGACAATTTGTTGAGAGACATTTCGCAAATTTAGTGTAGCTTGAACAAAGCCAGGACTCGCTGTCTTTCTCTCACTAAGACGAATATTTTACTAGGATCTTCAGTTCTCCACCATAAAGGTAGGCAGGCGGTTTTAGCCATTTTGAAGTCCCACATGTGTGGCAGAAAGGACACCTCTCATTTGATGTTATTATATAGTTTAAGCTACAACAAAATGCAACTCCACTTCAGCGTAATGTTATCTTAGTCTGTTGTTACATGCTTTCCTCTCTTGATTTTCTTAGACCCGGCCATATATTCATGAAAGCCGATATACCCATTCTATTGCAAATAATTTCAAGAATTTAGTGGGAACACGTGCACGTGAGGCAAACAAAACTGTAACAATCGCCAATTAAACTGATATTGCTCTTTCGTTGTGAATTTATTGCTAATCGATCAGGCAGTGTTCCAAGATTTGCATTGTGATCCACAAAAATTCTCAGTAATGACTTAAAGAAAAATTGACGCATTAAGTAATGAGAATTGATATTTTTTATCTCAGATAAAACAGAACGTTGTACATGACACTTCTACGGTTACACATATGTAAGATTTATTTTAACAGGTCTGACCACGTCGTGAACTGTCTTAGTTTGTTTCCGTCGAAAACTGTGGGCTGCCTGTTGAAAAGGGTCTTCGCCAAAAATTTATTGCTATGAATGAAAGACGATAAGCTATATAAATATTCTCAGTTGAACCAAACTCTCTCAGTTCGTGGGTAGATATTCGGCAGGGTTGTTTTATTTATCCGAGAGGAACATAACTTTTCCGGAATACCATGATGATACGATCGAATATTCGAGATAGATGCGCATATAAATCAAATCCAAACTGTTTTTCTCATACTGAGAATGATCCAGAAATTTTGTTTCGTGTAGTTTTTTTATTCCATGTGAGAGCATTTCATGTAATAAATCATTTACCGGCGGCGACTACAAAAGTTCTTAACCTTTCGCGCAAGTTTTGGTCTCTAAACAATTGAGTACAAGGCGTCTGTAAGTGCTTCGACTCCAAGCTTATAATTGCTTTAAGATTCTCCGTGTTCATTGATTTGTTAGTCAGGGTACAATGTACTTCGTGACATCTGATTGTAAAGCTTTTGACACAAAGCGAAATGATATTGGGCCATTTAGCAGTGGAGGAGTGTGACAAAATCAGTACAGTTTTTGTTGTTTTGAAATAAACCAAATTTGAAAGGTTTCTGTAGTTGATGGGTTTCAACTCCAGGAAAATTGTGCCAAAATAATTTTTTTCTGAGATTAACTGCTGAGCTTTCGGTGATCTTAAAGTTATTATTAGACTGAAGGAGGAGGAAAGAATAATAGTACTGATGATCTAACTTGGCACAAGAAATACTTTTTGCGCGCGACAACACACTTCTATCACTCAACGAGTGATAATTTTTCAATCCTTTGATCTACTTCATACCACAATGCTGTTTTTCTTACCAAAACGAACAGCGCCCATTCAAAAACATCTTTAAAAGGTAAACACTCCAGCTTAACAAGTAAACCATCTGAAATAATAAGATCGAACAATTCAATTCTTAAACGGTTTCTTTTGTGCGTCTTCCCTGAGGAGAAAAGTTATAAGTAAAGGTTATTTGTTTTGGTAGTTTACGGTTCTTTTTAGCGCCGTTGGGCTTAGACTAAAACAGTTCGTGTGAAAGCGACCAATTGTGTGCAGATGTTCACTGAGCATTTCCCACTACCCCTGCAGTGATTGCGTCGCCAAAAAGTTCTTCTTAAAACCGCCAGATCCTGAAAAGTATATATTTTCTTTTCGTGATGTTTCGACCAATTAACTAGGGCTTTTCTCTAAAAAATTCTCTTCTCTAAACGAAGTGTTCAGTCTTCCTTCGAAAATTTCGAAAATCTAACTTGAAAACGGCATCTAAACAGGGAGATAAGAATTGTAAGCCGCGTTCGGCCCCAACTACCTCGAAGGGAGTTTGTTTTGGACTAATGCCCCTAAAACTTAATTAGCAATTTTGCGATTCCTATTTCGCTAATTTTGTGTAATATAAAAAACACAAATGTCGAGTATGAAACGCGTTTCGCACTGATCACTAAATAAGTATTCGTAATTGTCGCTTTGTAAGATTTCAATTTGTTTTTCGGTAGCTTTGAGCAATTGCAACGTGAATTGGCTGCTTTCACAAAACTGATAGCGATAACGCGGAGTGACTAATGACTTTTTTTGTTTACATTTAATGCTCGCCAAATGATAAATGGCTAAATTTTAGGCTTGGCTAACATCTGTAGCAGCATGAATTATTTCGTATTACAATAAGTTTTCATTACAAAAACTTAGCCACAGAGGAAAAATAACAAATAAATTGAAATGAGAAGGTAATTTGTTTTGGTGCGTGCAATACCGAGAGAATACCTACGTTTTTGAAAACAATAAACGTTCAAACTTCATCTTTTCTTGACTGGTTCAATTTATTTTGAAACCGTTCTTTCGAGGGCTTTAAGTATTGTTTCACAATCACTTTTTTATTTACACAATTCACTAAATTCTGAACGGTTGCACGGTTAAAATTACAGTTTATCTATTTCATTTACTTCAAATAGAAACTGGTTCTTCTGCAACGGTATTCGAAATTAAAAGACTGCTTTCGTTCATTTCGTCAACTCCCACACATCGTAGCTGATTTTATTCTGGAATTTTTTGCTTGATTGCTTTGATAATATAGTGGGTTAGCCTCTCAAGAACAATCTACTTCACCATTCGTTTTCTTTGGGATATTCTACAGCAGTGAAACGTCAAAAATAAAATCTTAAGAAACAAGATGACTGTATCACAGGTTTTTATGATTCAAAAATTTTCCTCAATTATTTCATAAGGAAGTATTGTGATTTTCCTTTGATAAATTCTCAATCATAGTTGTTTCAACAATTTTCCTTTTACATTTCTTAATATAAACTTTCTCCTCAAAACTGATCATTAAACGATCAGAAATGACAGTCATATTTGTAGAATAATAGACATTTCCCTTACCACATCTTTGGAGAGTAACTGAAATTATCCAGAAACACTACAGTGCCGCATAGTTCACTCAATCAGAGAATTGTTCTACCGTTTCCCAGCCATTTGGCTGCAGTATGTACAGTAGGAACTTGGTGATACAATGCAAGGTCTAACAGTGTTGCTGTAACTCGAACGCACGTTAGAACAACACGACAAGGAAGGGCTTACTTTGCTATTCGGCGGTCGGTGTTCTTCCGTCTCCGAGCCGATGATACTCGCGATGGAGAATTTTGCAGGTCTTTGCCTTTCTCTTGACACAGGCGGGTCTGTTGATCTGCCGAGAGCTGGCGGTAAACATGTCAGGTACCTTGGAACTGAGAAATGTGAGTACAGAGGCGGTCGCCAGCTTGAAGAGTCCATGCAATTCCAGTAGTACTGAAACCCAAAGGCGCTGACGGCTCCCTCAGGTGGCCGCGGTCTCTTAAATCTTTTCCTCCTCCTCAGAAAACTGCCGTTATCGAACATTCCCTCGCTGGCAGGATCCAATGTCCAGTAGTTTCCTTTGCCAGGATTTCCCGGTTCGCGCGGCATTTTCATGAAACAATCGTTCAGAGAGAGGTTATGCCTTATGGAATTTTGCCACGAGGGGAACTTTTCGCGGTAATACGGAAAACGGCGCTTGATGAAGTCGCAGATTTCACTTAGGGTGAGTTTTCTTTGCGGTGATTGCAGAATAGCCATTGTGATCAGAGCGATGTAAGAGTAGGGTGGTTTGGACATAGACGATTGTCTTCGGTTTTCACTGGTAGAGCTTTGCTGTCTTAAACTTGAATCGTTTTTTTCTTGACCTTCGTCTTCATCTTCGTCCGGTTCTCTCTCCGTGAGGATTTCATTGTGTTCATCGTCGCTTTTGGCAGTTTTAAAACTTTGATCTGCCAACATCTCCTCGTCATCGTGTTTAAAATTCTCTTGGAAAGCCATTGAAGTGTTTATTGATGCACGGACGCACGCTTGCACGCACGGCCAAACGGAGTTTGCTGCACGGAGTGAACTGAATCCTTGGAAGGTGGCGAAGATGTGTTTTCAGTCGGCAAAAGTTGTTTGAATAAGTCAACGTACACCGGGACCACCCACCTGTGCTATAACCACTTATAACAACTACCCTCCCTGGGGCTATCGGAGATTTATTCACACATTAGCATCAAAAAGGTTTACTCTCCCATATCCTATCCAATAATTACCTCATTAAGGTGGTGTTCTTTGTAATTAGGCCGTATAAAAACTTTTCCTTTGGTCTGTACACTTAAACAGGAACAAAACGACACTGTTTATTGCACGGATTGTGTAGTGATTGTAAAAAGAAGCTCTGCTGTTTCGCTACGCTGAAAAAATGTGGAATTTAGATCTTCGAAAGTTTATTGTTTTCACCCGAAATACCTCTCCCACGTGTTTAGAATTCTACCCTCAGTGTCAAATTAAGGCAAACAAATTTTATAAGGTGAGCCTAAATCTATTTCAAATTATTCGCAGATGTCTCCCATTTGAGTACAATATCAGATAAGGCTTTGAAAGGTAAGTTAAAAGCCATAACGTCACGTAGAGATGGACGGAAATTAGCTGCGAAACCGTGAAGGCAATTTGAATAGCACAATTAATAAGGGAAAAGATTGTAACCATTTGTTAAACAGCGCTATCAATTCATGTTTGATTTTCATTTTGCTAAGAGCAGTTTGTTTACAATACACTTCTGAGATAAAATGGTTTTATTATGTCTTTCCTAAGGTAAATAAACATCCAAGTCATCTGCATGAAATTATCTCCCAGTGAAAATAGATTTCTAGACGACGAAAAAAACAGATATTTCATGAAATTTTCTTTTCTGAGTTGCACTCGAAGAGAGAGAGAGTTTTTTGTGCAAGTTGGTGACGAAATAAGTGAGTTTTTCACTGCAGGATTATGACCATCGTTGCGGCATATTACAAGCACATCTATCGAAGTTGTGATCGTTTGAGAGAGGGTTTAATCCTAAGTTAACCATTTGCAAACACAAAACACGATAACACCAAACGGCGCCGCGGAAACATCATCTTACGTTTTCACCCCACAAAGATATCGATTAAAACATCGTCTGAATTATAACATGGTTTTGTGTTTTCTTTTCCTCGAGGGCCATCTTTTTTTCTAATTCACCAAAAATAACTATTTATGGAAGGAAACCCTCTTTACTAATCTTTAATGTAAAAAACGAGTCGTTGTAAAACAACTTTTGATTTAACATGGTCAAGGGAATTTTTGCATTTGCGGACCAAGGAATAACAGGTTACACTGAATCAAAAGATAAAAAATTTGGTTGTAAACTACCCGTTCCTTGAATTTTTTCAAGGCATTCTAGGAGAGAGTCGTATGAAATGCGATTCAGCAAACGATTGTTTTCACCTGAAATTTATATAGTTCAAAATTTAAGGAAAACGATACGTTAAAAGGGTTTGTGTTAAGCGCAATGATCGTGTCGACAGATTTACAAAGTCTTCTTGTTTAGAAATTGACTGAATATGTCCGCCAAAAAAAAGAGAAAAAGTTAATAAAGAAGCCTCTCTGTGGAATGGGTATTACCTGGATTTCTCATTTACTTTTGATGCAAACTTCAAGGGTTTCTCGGTCGATCATATAAACACTATGAAATACACCACTTATTCTCCTTCGCAAAAAACGACTATCAATTGCTTTACCATATTTTAAAGAGTATTGTAATTTTCTGTCTTCCTTTTTATTCTTTTCTGAAAATGAGACGGGTATTCAATTTCAGGTAAAAGAAACGGAACTTAATTGATAAATTTAGCTGTTTTGCCTCCACTCTAGTTACCAATATCATTTGGTTAAAATTGAAAACTACCCGTGTTCCGTATCTAATCCTGGTATATTGTTTTTCATTCTCAAATTCTGTTGTTTTGGCCTCAAATCCTTCGAGCGTGTTGGCTTATTAAACAAATAAAAACTCTCTATTTGCCCTTGATTACACTAAATGAAAATTAGGACTTGACACCGCTCGCAGTTCAGCGAGAATCGATCTGAAAATTAATTAACTCTTTCTTTTTTTGTTGCAAGTGAAACCAGCCATTGAGCGCGAACAGTTTCGAGTCAATCTCGTGAAATCAATAAACTCTATCTCTGACAGTTTGAACAGTTCATGTTTGCACGGCCACTTCACAATTATTAATTTCTCAAACTCAGTGATTACAGAAGCCATAATTCTTGCATGATTTAATTTCCTTTCATGCTATCCGAAATATACAAACAATTGTCAAACAGGGATGAATATGTGAAAATTGCTAAGAGTAGTTTTTGTATTGATCGAAAACTGAGATAAACCGGATCTTCTACCTCGGTATATGTTTACGATAGATTTGTAAAGAATATGATATAATTTTCTTGCGTTCGATCTTAATCCTTCCTCCAGGCTATGCCTTTGTTCTGGCGCCGTTTCGTTGTTGTTAAATGTTGTAGTCTCTAAGGCAAAGCTAATTCAAGTAAAATTAATATGACGAGTGAGAAATTATCCTCCATAAAAGTCGTAATTTTGTTATATTCTTTGTTGATAAGCCATGTCGACAAAGACCCCAAACACCTGTATCTAATGTATGCTAATCGAAATATGTTTCATTTCCACTTTTCTTCTTTCATTAAAAGTTATCAAGGGCAGAATAAAAGCTTTAACAATTCATCACTCCCTGTCGTCTTCCGCGAGCTTTGGGGGGAATCTATTATTTTCCTTTCCAACACAGGAAATTACGGGCGATTTGGTTAGCTAAAGAAAACGCGATGCGTAAACTTGATTCAGCAAGATGTGCATCGTAAAATGTCGATTGCGACACATTTTCAATGGCTTTTTGAGTGTTTTTCTGTCAACTGAAAAGACTATTATCGCAGTCTAGATAAGTGACTAAATTTCACGTAATAAAATGATCAAACAGAATAGACACCACACTTCAAGGCTAATTCAGTATTGTTGTATTGTAAATCGCAGAAAAACTAGACGAGTTTAAAAAGCGTCAATGAACATTCAGAGCTTAAAACTAAGAATTGCGCGGAGGTGTTTGAGTTTTTTGTGCATACTTCCCTCCAGGTTTATCTTGTTGGGCGATATCGTTTTCGGTGTTTTTCATATACACACGTACTTAAGTAATTAAACTAGCCGGGGAGGAGTTGAGCGAACAATATTCAGCTGGTTTGCTAATTAAGGCCATTCAAGGCTCTAAATGGGGTTTCTAAGTTGAAAAAATGTCTTGATTATATATCAAGAATCTGTTAATTTGTAAACGCACGTACACGCAATTTGCGAAACAGATTTCTTAGATAATTTGAGTCTTCTCGATTACAGAACAGGGTTTTTCAAATCTGATGAACTCCGATTTGATTTTTCCTCGAAAATTTAATTTTTTTCACATTATTATGTCTGAAATGATTGTTTTTACATGAGGATCACGGATTGAAAAATGTAGCGAAACCATTCGTATATCGTGTCTTAGTTTAGACGCCATTCTTCGATAAAAAAATTGAATTTTTTGTCAGAGATATTGTATCTGTTCGAGAGATGAATACAAAAGCGCGAAATTTAGTGGAATCGAGTTGATATTGCTTTGAGAGCGTTTTTGTCTTTTATCAGAATCTCTTTTGTGAGATAGAATGTTCGAGTACGCTGTGGGGAATTTTTACGAAGCCAGCTTTTACAAAAGTCTTTATTGACTTTGTCAATAGCCGGTAAAGAACTAGTATGATATCAACGCCCTCCAGACAATTCGTGATCAAAATCACGATAAGTTTCAGCGTTGTCGAGGTTAAAAAGAGGCATATGAATCAAATGAAAGAAATTCGTGACCAAAGGAGCAGTACACGAAAAATCACGAAAGTTTAGACATGGTCTTCGTCAAACATTATATACCCATAGTAAAATACCTCAGTAACTTAGCGTGGTGATGCGACCTACATTAGAAACATGATATTTTCTGCTTTATAATTCAACCATCGTTTTTCCTGATATTCCTACTGAAATACTGAAATTAAATTTATTTTCTAAGTATTTATTTTTTTCGGGATCGAATAGGCGAAATATATAGAATTTAGCCTGTTTTCAGTTCTCTTCTTTCGCACAATGTCTTCCGAAAAGTGAATTTAAAGTTCACCCAAACTTCCGTTTGGCTTTGTGGGGCCCTCTGTCTTCCTTTAAAATGATATTGTCTGCTCGTAAAAGTTCCATCTCAAACGAAAAGAAAGATAGTTTAAAATCATTACCCACGGCAGATGAAAGAAATGAAAAAAATCACAAATCTCCTCCTTCGCTAATCAGTTGGGCATGGCAGTCACAGATGTAGTTTAACTAAAATGTAGCCGGTTTGTATCCGTGATCAAGGGCCGTTTTCGTTTTCAAAGCTGTCGGCTTTTCTTATTTCCTTTTTACTCTGCTGAATGCAGGAAGGAGTTTTCTAAATGCATTTTGTCAGAAGGGAATGGCTATGAAAGGAAACAATACGACTCTTTATTACATTCTCAATATCAGAAAGCAACCGCAACGTCATAGTTAATGTCGCTAGTGCGTTTTAAGAGGTATCTAAATGAACGCGTTTAATTGATGTTAGGTCGAATGGAAGGTGACTTCACAACGCCGCGTTATGGCAATTAATGTTATAATATTCGGCTTAATCACTCTTAGAACCACAAACCAATGCACGTGTGTTGTTTTATATTTGCGCAAAATGTTTATCAGATAAACGGTTGAGGCGAAAAAAAAATCGCCTTTGATTTATTAACGTGATTGTCATGGTAGACCTCGGCTAATCCAATTTTATGCAGACTGTTTCAGGTTCCGCGTTTTGTGCGTGTCTCAGTGGGTATCTGTGCCTAACCGCATGCTTTGCACATGCTTCGTGTATATAGTGTCAATCACTGTTATAGGATACCTATCTAAAACACAGCCTTCCGTCATTCGTTGGCTTATAAAACCTGGGGTTGATACCAAACTGATACTGAACCTCACGTATATTGGTATCGTTCGAGTTGTTCTAAAAAACAAGTGCGAATAGTGACGGTGTCGGTGTAAAATGTGTTTAGACTGGTCCGCAGTGTATATCAGAGAGGTTTTTAATTGTAACAGTGGTCAACACTAATCTCCCTGATATTTCCGATGAAACTTGCCCGAGGCAAAGTTCATGTGTTTTGTATCACCGCAAGATCTGTTTTGTCCAGTACCGAACGTTCTTGGATTACTTTTCCATCGTGACACTGGTAAGTGACTTGAGGGAGTCCTAGGAACGAGACAGAATTGCGCATGATCAAGCATGGCATAAAGGCCCCTCGTCATTAGGTTACGTGACCGAAGTATCTTTAAGATAACTTTCCTATTTACCCTTTCATTTCTAATATGTGCGTGTTGATTCTCCTTCATGACAGACACATGCATGTATTCTTTTTATTTCTGAGAATTTGGTCGTTTCAAAACAGTCTCGGTTGATGGTTTATTTTGTTCTCTCACTTTTCTTCGTGTACAGTGAAATGGTCTTATCACAGTCCAGAGTTAAAAGATACTGAAGGTGATTTCTCATTATTACACTGCGCATCGTGTGCTGCGCTTAAAAATCACGTAATCAGATGAATAAGCGCTCGCGCCGAGAACACGGTATTTTTTTTTCAATAAATGGACCACAGGTAAGGAGGTAAGACGGTCTTTGGCTCGTGAAGGAGCACGTTGACCTATATTTTTTATTGCATAACTTTTGTGTGCAAATTAACTCCTTTTAAAGTGGAGAAATTAAAAAAAATTTATTGAAGTGAAAAAACGATATAGCTCAAAGCTTGCACGAAGCCCTTTCCTCTGATTGAGCAAATTATGACCTTGAGGGAACGACTCACGGAACGTTTTGAGTCGATTTCGCCTAAAATTGCGTCTTTTTTCCACAAATTATCTATCAAACTGTTTCATACGCTCGAGAATTTCTACCTATCAAGTTTTTTTTTAAAGTATTGCTTTACAAACCCTTGCTTCCAACTACCTCAAAATGTACCGTGAAGCGGTGAAATGACGCGCGTGATTAGCACAGGCTTAAATGGAGTAAGTTTGGTTCATCATATCTTTTAAAAAAGCACAGTGACCTATCTTTTTTTTAATTTATTGCTCGAAAAGACGTTTGAAAGGAATATTTAGGGAAAGTTTAAAAAAAAATGGGTTTCACTATTTTTTTCCCGTGATAGGAATCACTTTAAGTTCCACCAGTATTCATTTTGAACGGTGTGATTTTAAGAGTTCATTTTAACGGAGTGAGACTAAGCTGTCCTCACTAAGAACAAAACACAACAAATCCACCTCAGGGAAATTGTCGCATGGATTGTTGTTGCGGAGAGAAAAGAAATTGTCAGTTCGTTGCCGCTCTCAATAAGCAACAAACCTTCCCTGGGCATTAAAAGCAACTGGTTTTCAAGAATATTTTTTTCAACAGTTGTGTCAGAAAGCGTTTATGAATTTCTCTTCTTCAGCTTTTTTTTAAAAGTGCAATGAACAATGGTATCCCCGCTACACATTTCTGAAGAGGTTACACATTCCTGAAGAAGCGTGGTTGCACATTTCTGAAGAAGCGTGGTTGCACATTTCTGTGGTGGTGCAGTTAACACAGCGGTCAAACACTGCGCATGCACGAAAGTTTGAAAACAATAAAAAGGATTTCCGAACGCGTGTCCAACGTAAAGTGAGGGAAAGAAGATTGAATTCCTAACTATTCCAATACGTAAGACAAATGAAAAAAGGATCCTGGCCTTATTTTATTGTGAGATATCCCAACTGTTTTCAAAGCAAACGCTTTGTTTCAGTGATAAATTCCGGTCATGTTCCGTCAACTCCGTAATCTCCTGAGAGCATATTTAAGCCCAAAAAATTCTGTAAAAAAGACGATATAATTTAATGATTATTTTATCTCAAAGGACCTTAAAAACCACTTTTCGTGGAGTTATTAGGAAAAAACCCTATAGATTTGTTTATCATAGCAGGTGACTGAATATCGAACTTTAGTACGCTTGTGAGATAATGAACCGATACTGAGATTTGGTAAACTTGAATGGACACAGTGAACCACACAATTTGTCTGTGTTTAGGAAAACGCCAACTCGTTAGAGACAAAGGTTCTACATGTAAAACGGAACACAACCGCATGACCTCGAGTCTTGATGAAGGAGTATTAAGGTTATTTGAGTCGATAGAGCATGGTGAAACGGAGTAAGGGGGTAAGTTTCTAAGGTACTGTGGTGTTACATCGGTTGGGCGAAGGTTGTATTGCACGATAATTTAGTTATATCTTGTTAATGTAAATTGTCCACTGTAAAGAGTTTCTAAAGCTGACGTTGCGAGCGTTAGTCATTCGTCGGAATATACCGAGAATTTGTAGGTTGTTTTATTTTAGAATTTCAGGAACAGAGCCGATCAACATTTTCCATTTTTCGAAGTATCCACAAACTACCTTATTTTCGCACATCTTCTCATTTTCTAGCTCGCTTCTGCGTTCTTCCATGTAAATACAGTGACTGAGCTATCAGTCCGAGTCTTACAAGCGGAATGGCATAAAAACAGTTATGCCTCACTGTAACTTCCTTAGGCACGACCGCTAGGCAAGCTGGGACCCTAACCCTACAGCGGCGAAGCTCATTTACGACCGACATAAAAATCGGCTTTCCCTCTGATTCAGATCGTCTTTTTCATTCTTTCGAGTTCATCAACTTTTTCCTCGCTACGAAATGTTTCATTATCAGAATCCAGCTCCTCAGATGTTTCGTATTCGTCATCTGATTGAAGTTCGCCATCTGCTGATTCATATGTCAAATTGTCATCCGCCAACACGTGCTCATTAAGAAGTCCCAGGCCCTCGCATTCAACCAAGACAGTCTTCGGTGTCTTTGAACTGATTTTAAACTCCACCTACAGAAAAGAGAACATCGTTTGGTTCTTTTTTGATTCGTTATACGTTAAACACTGACTCAGATCAAAAGATCAAACTATCGTCCAGCAAGTATCGAGTTCAGGCGAGAATTTTATGGTGGAACAAATTTTGCCTCAGGGTAGTATCCTTGGGCATTAATTTAGCTCAAGAAATTTGCAGTCAAACATTTGGATGAGGGGGAGGTAGAGACAATCAATTGTCACTAAACAAAGCTTTGCGTTGATTTCACAGTTTAGGTCGTTACGATCAATTTCTTTTTCGTCTTTTTCGAAGGCATGGGTGTTTCATTTTCATGTATGTGGGCAGCCTTTGCTTTAATTAATGTCTTTTTCTCGCACAATGAAACGAGTAGCAGATCTCTATTACGGTATTATAGTTGAGGTTAGTGCAAGAAAAGAATAATTCACTCGAGAGTTCGACACACTATTAGATTCTATTGGTTTTGGCTCAGTACGTTCTGCGATTGGTCAAAAACACTCGCGCCACCTTAATAATCTATCACCGTCTTAGTTAGGTGCAGTTTCTCGCGCTTCAAGCCAATTACGATTATCTCCTATGAGACTCAATTGGCTCCTTATTTCCTTCATTCTGATTGGCCACTGGCCAATTTGGTTTCGGTTTCTGGACGATAAATCAAAAGGCGCTCTAGACGCATACCACTTAGCACACAAACCTCTGTAAACGTCTCCACAGCCAGCATCGTAGCTTTAGCTCGATTGGTGAGCCGCTGCATCCGTATGGACGACCTTCCGCAGACCAATGCCATCAGTAAAATAGCCTGAAAACAGAGAGAAACTCACCATGAACACTCTCTTGGTGAAAAAGAAATGACTATTATCAGAAACAAAGTTGCGTGAAAAAAACCAGCAACACAAAAATTCTTGGAACCTTTGATTCCATATTTGAACAAAAACATATGTTTCTGGCAGAGACGCCTACCTGTTCCAAATAACTTCCATATCTAAGCGTGTATGTATCGAGGAAAAGATAAGGTCCTTCTCCTGTTCAGCAGTAAGAGTATGACTTCTTTTCGTCAACGTGAAACTTATATTTTTTAGCTCGTCAGATACCAAATATATTTTTATGACATCTCGACGCTCCTTCTAAATTGTGTGTATTTTTGCTATTTAAAATAAACCGTACACAGGATACCCACATTGTGTTATGGTGAAAATAACTTACATGCTCCTGTAACAGCCTATCGATGCACGAACCGCTGTTCACATTATTCACCAGCATCTGGACAGCTTTAGAAACAACCTCCACTGGAGCCATTCCTACCATTACGAAAAATATCAAATTATTACAATTGCAAAAAATAGGATGTACAACATATTATTCATAATACATTATGTGCGAAACATCCTTGGTTACGGAATGAGTGGATACCAAACTAACAACGCTTCACTTTGATGTTAGAAATAACAACACCTTGAGAGTCGTTACTCAGACATATTCCAGTTTTGACCATCTGATCGTTTGCTATGTGGTCAAAGTCTTTAAGGCGCTTGAGTGATAAAGATTTCTAAACTTTATTGACTATTTACAGTTCGTAAGTCTCATCTTTTAAGTGATTGTTTCTTCAGGCGACACGACTCAGGATTTCGGGCGACATGACTAAGCGTTTCGGACGACATGACTCCGGTTTCAGGTGATATGTCTTCGGGCGAGATGACTTTCGGGCGAATTCAGGCCAGCACGTTACAATTTGCTTGCCTCTATCCATGTTTGTATGAACAAACATCTCATTTAATGTAACAAAACCTTCATGTCCAGTTTGTCGAGGGAAACCCTATGTAATTATGCAAGTTCTTATCTCATATTTGATATCGAATAACTAACCTTTTTCCCATATGGCAGTTCCGGACAGCAAAACGCCAGATGACATTTTTGCAATTAGCCTGGATAAAGGAAAACACTTGATATGACAATTTTTTTTGGTTCAGCAGGTAATAAACGTATCTCACATGTACATGGAACAAGTGCATCTTCATAAATTGATTTTTTAACTTAAGGAAAAAGTGAACTCTGAAAACCAGCACACTTTTTTCGCCATTGTCAGCGAGTATGACAATTACATGTACAATTGTAAAGCACTGAGCATAATTATTTTCAGCTGTGCCAGAACTTCCTGACAGTGAAATTTGTCCTAAGTTTCCATGTAAAACAAGATGTGTGACAGCAGATCTGACGCACAAAAATTTGTTAGTCGATTCACTTTCGACTTACATCAGCCCCTGCCCTGTCCCTTCACTTCTACAGTCTCTGTCTCGTCTGCTATCGATATCCAGTGGGACTTGTGGGAATTGAGTCTTTAACATCTGATGCGCCTGCTTCGCCATAACCTGAGCAATCTGAAACATTTTTGACATTTGAAAATTACTATAACAGCTGATACACAAATGAACGTGTATTGATTTCATCAAGCAGTTAACCCTTTGACTCCCAGGAGTGATTAACATGAATCTTCTTCCTGTGATATCCACACATTATCCAGAAAAAGGCTAATGAGAACACCCAAACTTATCAGGTACAAGTTGTTATCTTGATCTAATACCAAATTCGCCTAACTTATTTGCCAGGAATTTTGTAAAAGCTGGAGGAGAGAATTAACAATCAGATCTTTAGTTAAAGGGTTAAAAAATCATTGTGGAAAAGATTGCCATATTCTAACTGAGTCTTTTTTCAATGTAACTACAAAATAGATAATTTTTTTTCCCTTCAACCCTGTGCTTTTTCTTATGTCCTAGTTCCAACCTAATTCCTGTGCACTGACCAGAGCACTATGACACTACAGTTTGCACTCATTCAGAGTAGAGGATTATGTACCACATGTGCGTGACACGTGTGACAATGAGATTGTGTTACATCTTATCGCCATCTTGGACGCCGATACGGTCATGGGTATGATTGGTTCATTTGTGCCACATGGTACATAATCCTCCTCTCTGATTGGCTGTTTATCATAGTGCCCCCTAATGACATAACATACCCTGACAGGCTTTGCTCCAGCAACAAATGCCCAACCTGTGATTTCCCTTACAGTGCCACTTTCTTTCATTACAACAGGAGTCAAACTGTGGACTGGGAGACTCTCTACACATATTTTACCCTCCCAGTATGGATGATAACTCCTACAAGGCAAAAACAAACACTAATTATACACTTTAACCATTTAACTCCCAAGATCTCATTAGTAATTCTCCTTACTGTCTGCTCTATAGTTCTTGTGATGTTAGTTTGGAGAATTTGGTATTGGATCAACTAATAATCCCCTAATTAATATTTTTCTTTATTCTCATCACTTGTCTGCTTGATATTGTAAGGAAAAATTTGTTGTGATCATTCATAGGAGTTAAAGGTTAAGGCACAGACTTACTAGTTGATAAGTACTAGTTCACGTGTATGTACATGTACATTGTGGAAAAGATAAACAAAAATCAATCATGGTCAAAGGAAATTTCGAATGCACCATAAAAAGTGTCAGGTGTTGGCTCCAGATTTAAAATAGGAAAAGCTACGATGCCAAGTGTAAAAACTGCCAAAATAACTTTCCTGATCTCAAACATGTAGTTAAGTTACAGTGTAGAACAAATATTACAGAGCAGAAATTTCTACAAATAATAAAAGGGAATTGAAATACCTTTTACGAATGTCAAAGTTAAAGTCAAATCCAAACTTGCCAACCAACGGCTTCATAATCTGAAGAGATAAAATCAAAAACCAAAAAACAAAAATCAAAATTCATGAACTTGTACAAACCCATTTGACTCCTAAAGTGACTAACATGTAATTTCTCCTAACAGTCTCACCTCTGAATCAAACATTAAGGTTAAGAGAATAAAGGCAATGGTCACCAACTAATGAGGCTCTTGATGGTGAGACAAATTCTCATTGTCAACACCTTGGGAAATGTCTGGAGAACAGTATGGAGAAGATGCATACTGATGTTAGGGTATAAAGGGTTAGAGAAGTTGTAGTGCACATACACAAGGATGAAACTGGTGTACCAATGTGATTTACAAAATATGGTAAAATACTTCTCCAATAAATCAAAGTGTTCTTAAATCATGGTGATATAAACAAGTGCTGATAAACCTCAAAGCACTTGGTTACATTTTGCTCTGCAGTTTTTTAATTCCCTGTGTTTTCAATGCACTCTCAGAAATAAGAGATTAACTTCTGGGAAATTTCTATCTGTCTGAATTTTATTTCTTTGACTAGAAATGATGAAGAACCTGATTTTCTTCACTTAAAAATGGTTACACAAGTAAATACGGTACATCTACTCACATTTTGGATGTAGTCTGCATTAATGACTGCCTTGTAGGAATGGGTTGAACCTTTTATGTGAAGTCTGTTAAATCTTGTGTATTCAGGAATTGGTAGAAATGGGCAGCATGGAAGGGCTGATGTGACCAACAGGTTTAAGTGACTGAAAAAAAGGAATTAAAAAAAGGAATTTAAAAAAGTGATGGTTATAAACATGTACAGTAGCTATGCTTAAAAAAAAAGCCTTTGTAATCAAAGGGAAACTGTGAGATTCAAGGATCTGCCAAAACAAATACAACCAAAGTGGTAAGTATTTTGCTGATAATTATTACAGTAATGTTATAGAATATACAAACAAGAATTTGACCCTTCCTAAAATGAAAACCTTAAAGAAGGGCAGATACATTGTATATCTCAACTTGGAATGATGTCCTTTTTAATGAGAGTACAAACTGTAGGTGGCAAGAAAGTGACTGAAGTATTCATGCATGGATCACAGTTATGACAAGGATCTTTGACAAAGAATTGTCCATTTAAGCTTGGCAAATTTCCTTTACAAGCATTTCAATGCATCTAATGTTGAAAGACATCCCCCAAGAAGGGCGCATAACATTGCATTGTCAATAACAATCAATTTCCAGTGATTTTTTGACAGAACACCCAAATTGGAGTGGCAAAGTAGTGCGATTACAATTAAGTTTATCTTGCCGCCAAAAACAAGAATGAAAGACAAACCACAAAAAAGTATATTTTTCTTTCTTTAAATCCTGTTGCACAAAATAAATAATCCCAGTTCCTTAATGTACAGTGTAAATCCAATGCACTGGACATGTATTTGTAGCCACAACTGTCACTCTCTAGCCTAATTTTTTTCATTTTTTTGTCATCTTGCTGACAGAAACAAGATAGAAAAACAAACTGCAAATAAACAAAAAAGAAAGATACAGTATGGTGAGGGAAAATTCTAACTTCATTTGTCAGGTCTAACACTGTTAACATACCCCAGTCGTCCAGCCTCTGCAGAGAAATTCCCTCCAACTAGCTCGCTAGGGACATTAGTTACCATAGACAGTCCTGTATTAGCTGCAAGTGTTCCACTGGAGATTTGCCGCAGCAGCTGTAACACTCTCATGTCATGTGACTGCAGTCCACCATCTGATACTGACACATTCATCAGTCGTACTGGTGTACAGGTTATTGTGCTTAAAGTTGCAATTGTGCTGAGAAACACTTGACTCTGTTATGAAAAAGGTATCTCATTAACCCTTAACTTCTCCCAGTGATTGAAATGTAATAAAACTATATCCAAGATAAGATACCATTTTTCTAAATTCTATTATGTAACCTCAAAATTTCAATAGATTATCTAGTTAACCCTTTAACTCCTATAGGCGACCAAGATGGAATTTCTCCTTACTAATTATCTATACAATATCATGGAAACAAGTGATGAGAATAAAGAAAAATATAAATTTTGGGACTACTAATTGATCCAATAGCAAATTCTCCAAATTAACATAATGATAATTATTTGGTAGACAGTAAGGAGAAGTACTAATGAGATCTTGGGAGTTAAAGGATTAAAAGACAAGGAGAGTAGACATTCAATTGCAGGATGGTTAGTGGACATGTAAGGTACTGCTCAAAAGTAAGTTGACAGTCTCTCAAAACTCAATTTTGATTCTTGACCCTGGACCCTCTCAAAACAAGAAAATAAAGGCATTTTTGTCACATTAATTTAGCAATTTTCAAACCACTCAATTGTACTGCATTGTGCTGCACTACTAGACAAAAAATATCTGGCAGTTACACAAAGAATTTAAGAACTCACTGTTTCTTGCAAGATAGAGGATTCAGTATCACAGAAAAATATAAGAAAAATACATTATTTTAGTTATAGGAGTGCATGTATGTACAGCATGTGGGTAAAGTAAATATTACAATGAATAAAGTGGTAAGTTTCTAAAGAAACTGTAGCCCTGCCTTGGTGGGAGTGTATTACATGATAATTTAAATTCCTCACCTTTATAAAGAGTTTCAAAGAGTTTCAGAGTGAATGACAAAGAGCTAATGTTTGAAATGTCAGCTTTTAAACTCTTAATGATGGCCAATTTATGTTATCAACTAAGTTGATGATACTATATTACCCTGTCAAATATTACAATGTCCTGCACTATAAGTACCTGTTTAATTCCTCGCATATCTATTTCCAACATTTCATCTGTCAGCCGCAAAACCTTCTCTCCACTTTCCTTCTTCTTTGAACCTCTCATAGTGAAGTACGTTCCAATCTCCTTGTCATAATCTCTCCTTGATGCTAAGTTACGTAAAACATTGTATGCATTTGTGATTTCTGAAAAAGGAAGGAAAGTGTGTTAAATGCATATAAATTTATCCTTTGTATAAAATATTTGAGTGTCAAAATTATCAATGAACCCTTTCACAGACTCAAAACCCTACAATGCAATGTAAGAAAGAACCTGTTTCTGATTAACAGTAATGTACACAGTTTCTCAAAATATCACCACTTATGGGATGATTCCAGGTTATTGTGCATGTTCTATTGTCAAGCTCCAAACTGTGAATTAACCCTTTAAACTCTAAGGGTGATTACCATCTAATTCCTTCCAACAATATCAGGGAAAAAAATTAACTTCAGTGCTTGGTGGCCAATTGGGCCAGTTTCCTTGAATTCTTAGTGGCCCATCCCAAAATGAAGTGGCTCTCGCTTTCCTCTAGTTTAAAATAAAAAACTTGAATAAACACCCCATGGCCTTTAACTAAAAGGAAAGAACACATCCTGCACGGAAGTCTGGGTAAGTCCAGAGTCAATGGCAATCACAAAATCAAAATGGCATCTATATGTTATGAATGTGGATCGCTCTTGAAATTACTGTTAAAATAGCTTGGAATTTCCACTTCAGAACTAAAAATTCACTAAAATGGACGATCTTGAGGTCCAGGCAAAGAAACAAGAGAAAGGTAGTCCATTTAAACTACATATTGAGTTTTATTTTAAACTTTGTACTTCGCATAATTTACATTGCAACTTTTTGAAATTCTGTAGCGTAGTCACACATCGGGCATTCAAACCTTAACTTTTTGTGGCCCTGATCATTTTTAGCTTGCCACTGGCGACCATGAAACTGCCGATTTTTAGCCCTGCAATATCACTCTTGAATCACATAATTATTAAGGTCATTAGAATAAAGGAAATGGTCACCAGGGAAGGAACCTTTTGATT